TTTTTAAACTAATTTTTCACTGTATTCTTACATTTCACACAAATTACTTTAATTACATAGTTACATTCATAATATCATTTATCAACAAGAGTAATTGAATAGATTTTAATGTCAAAATTCAATTCTTGCCTATTTAGAGAAAGAACACACCAAAGTTTTTATGAAGAGGTTGATTTAGTAAGAGTGATTTTCTAAACTTATTTTTGTATAGGGCTTCCAACCTATTTGCATTGACAAGTCTTACTCCCGATGACACTGAAATTAATAATACCCCAAAAATATATCTGCTATAAATGTACCATAAATCTACATGTTTAAGACGCACCTGTGTATAAGACGCACCCCTTTTTTAAGACCAAGACCATGACAAATAAAAAAAAAAAAAGCTTTTGGTTTTGCTTTTTTGCTGACTCCAAAGGCAGCAAGCCAGATCAGATCGCATCTTATTTCAGTGTTTTGAAAGGTATACCGTTCGGAATCCCAGGCCATGAAGGAAAGGACTTTTATTTATTACGCTGCGCAGTTGAAGTGTTCGTGAACTTGTCACAAATAATAGTAACAATGTTGTTTTTAAAACTAAAGATGCAGACAAATTTTCCTCCAAGTCCAAACAGAAATTTGGACAGACTATTTTTCGAGTGGTGAGTCAATATCCCCTGTGTGAGTGTGCTGCATGATACGGGTGTGTTAGCTGAAGACACGGTTGAGCTTTAGCCGGCAAAGTGCTAGGTGAAGGGACATAATTTATCGAGGCTGAAAAAACTCTCGTCCCTTCAAATAAGGAACGTAGTTTAACTTGAAATAGTTGATCCTATTCTTTATTTGCATTTTGTAATTCATGTTGAGACACAGAGATTCTCGAAAAACATTAAAAAGTAGCATGTTGAGGACTCAAATTTCCTGTACTTTACACAGAGATAGTATAGGCCTACGCAGGCGCGTATGCAGGCGCGTACGTATTAATAAATTTGAATTTCAAGTGCACGAGACCCCTAGGTCACGAGGTTTGTTGCCAACTTGCCATGGTACAGTTCCAATTCAAGCCTATATCAAAATTGGCTCTTACAAAAACATTAGACATATTTTTTCTATCAATCAAACTTGGAAAAGTTTGAGTTTTTATTATTGATCAAAACACTTTCTATCTTATACACACTTGACTTTTCAACTGAATCGGTACAGTTTGCTTCCATACCATGTTTCATGATTGTTCCAATAAACCAAGTGAATAGCTTTTAAATTAAGGTCTTCAGCTAACTGCACTACTGCTTTTTACCGCAGAGGGCAGTAGCTAGAGTGGATTCTAGCATAGTGACCAAGATGAACAGTACATATTTAAGAACCACACAGCAGGCCCATTTCAATAAAAATGTACTTTAAGCAACTCCTCAAATATCACTATTTCTATGGCATTTCTTGGACAACTGCCGTAAATCTTTATGTATAAGACGCACTCCTATTTCGGGGACAAAAAAAGAGGTGCTGATGAAGGTCTTGATTTGTGCTTGTGAACTTGTCACAAATAATAGTAACAATGTCGTTTTTAAAACTAAAGATGACAGACAAATTTTCCTCAAAGTCCAAACAGAAATCCGGCCCTACAGGTAGTGTTGTTCTAGTTTCCGAGTGCTGAGTCGATATACCGTGAATGACTGAGTTGGGAGACATTGCCAAGTGGAGGGGCATAAATCCACACTTGTGTACCTGTGTATAAGACGCACCCCCGACATTCAATTTTTTTCGGCGGGAAAAAGGTGCATCTTATACACGGAGATTTACGGTATTGAATTCTTTGTCCAACTATTATGTTTTCAATAATTTTGATTAGTTGTTGTCTTTCTCCTTATGCTCTCATATTTTTTAATATCTTGGTAGGATCACATGTTTTTGTTTAGGTTTGTTTCAGCATGTAATACAGCTACCATACTATGCATACACCTTCTGTGACTATTCTGCCTGGCAACAACGATGAGTGTTGAAACTTGTTGTGATAACTAAGGTTTTAAAAGAAACGTGAGGTATCTAGACTAAAAGAAAAGCCCAAAATATTGCCAAACATGCATGAAAATAACTTCATATGAGATATATTCTGATATAAACCAAGGTATGCATGTGATTTGGCTGCTACGATGAAATTTAAGCATATTAATGGTAACATTTAGATCTGACAACAGTAGTTGATCTAGCAGATGGTTTCTCTTGTATCATTTTTACAAAAAAAAAAAATGTACATAAATGTGCACCATATGACTATACATGGGAAACTCTGTATAACGAGGCCGTCAGAACCAATTGATTTTCCTCGTTATATCAGAACCGTTATATCAGTACATACATACAGAAAAATGCACAAATGGGACCTGTACAATAATGATCATACCGAATTTTTTCTGCTCCTATAAGGCTATTATTATTATCATTATTATTATTATTATTATTATTATTATTATTATTAAAACATTAATATATGCAATTTGGTGAACTTCTGAATTAATTTTTTTAATTGAAATGTTAAATCCTATCGGCAAAGGCTTCCGATGTATTTTAACTAAAAAAAAAGACCTTAAATTACCGGTGAACAGTCGCAGCCTCTCGATCTCAATCATGCACGCTACGTGAATCTAGCGACTTAAAAGCAGCCAACGACCAAATAAGGAGTAAGCAAGCCACCATTAAAGGGTTATAGTGTCCTAAAAAACGTCTAATCGAAAAGGAAAAGGGTGATTTCGCACGTTCTCAGATTTTGTTTATTGAGCGTGATCGGAAAAGACGCTAATGTGGATAAGGGAGTTTAAAAAAGAGAAAAAGGAAAGAAAAAAATCAATGCAATATTTCAGCCCATCGTTTACTGGTCCTGGTGCATATCGCCCCCCTCCCCCTTCTGCTCCTGAATATTGAATTATGCACCTCCGAGTTAGACTGTTTTTAGCCAATCGTATCGGCCTCTCCGATGAATGCGCAGACTATGTGTAACTGAATTCCTGTCTTAATTGTGCATGCGTGTGATGCCGTCTTACCCAATCGACTGTATTATCCTCTGTTCTAGTCACACCTCCACTCTTTCTCACGCGCTATCGAGAGCAAGCATGCTTTGAAAGCAATGTCTATGAAGTGTTCGTACCAGGCCCCCCAAGCTCCGCCATTTTGTCCGGATCCATTAGAAGCCAAAATAAGCCCCCCTTGCATAATTCATGAGCCTTATGAATTATGCATTCTGTAGGATGCTCCCCACGACAAGTGTACTGGAATTATGTTCACTACATGGTAAAAGACAATACGCGTATCAGCGTAATTAGAGAGGTCAAATAATCTAGTGTACGGAATTATGGGTAATTTATTCATCACGCTGCGCGCTCGCAACGCAAGTGATTCAGCGAATCAGCGTGGATTATTCTGATGCGATCACCGTTAGGTGAAATACGCGCTCGAACTCGTATTATCGATCACCAGTATAACAGCTGGTGTACCCAGGATGCATCGGGAAGTGGACCTTGAAAGTCCCACTCGTTGTTGTGTTGTTGTTGTTTTTTAATATGGGGGAGTGGCCTCAACTTCATTGAATAAGAAATACTGATATTGTCTCGATCTTATTCCCTTTTTAGTCTATCAATAACTGGGTCTGTTTTTGTTTTATTAAATCAAACATGCTATATATAAAGCCATATAACAACACATTCTCTCACTATGATTATACATTTTAAATATGCTAATGTATAAAGTTTCCTTATTTTAGACAAACAAATAATGTGGCAAAGTGGATGGTTTTCTCCACCCACTCCCATCGTACCTAAATGATTCCCTTTCTCTCTCTTTCTCTGTCTTTCGTAAATTATCTTCTGCAACTAACGGTTTGTTGTCTTGACTGAACAACCTGTTGCAGTTCCGTTCTGTCTCACTTTCAGTCGTAGTTATTATTACCACTCATTTACATTTACTCGTTATCAACTACGATCAACCATTCCATATTCACTCCATTACTGTCCACATTTCACTTGGATTATCTTCCCTTTTCCCTGCAGCCTTTGCAGGAGCTTTGAACATTTTTAATGTACAGACCAGAGAGATCGGAAAATATGTTAATAATTTTATTCAATTTTTTCTAACTTGAAAACGGAAAATGAAACATTGTTTAATTCAACACCTTGACATAAAAGATTTTTTTTTTTTTAAGACAATCGAATTTAACACTGGAACAACAACCCAGAAGTGGTACCAGGGTTTTAGTTAGGAGGCCTATGTCCTGTATATTTTTTATTATAAGGAATAATTTCTCTTTTTTTAAAATTAATTTTACATTGGTATACCGTTAATTTCACTGGGAAAACCATCCCTTTCCCTTAACAATCAACACTGCCATTATACTTATATTATTACTTCTAGCAACAGAAATGCTATAATTCATAACGTTTTCACTTTCTAAATCCTTATAACATAAACATATGATAAATATAATATTGTTTACACTTTTGCAACCAGTTACATGTACATGGTCCATGTAGAAACAGCACCAGGAAGAGGATAGCAAGCCCCCCCCCCTGTTTTTCTTAAGTTAGGAAGTATCAAAACATGATTCTATTAAAATTAGTAGTTTGGATACGAAAGACAATGATGAAATGGCAGTCTTTCCATGTCTCTCTATATTTAATGCATTTAGAGGGTTGACTTTTAAACCTTCTTATACATACACTACTTGAAACAGCAGTAATGTAATAATTTACAAATCCTCTAAAATACAGAAGTCCATAGAGGTAAATGAATTTCAGCATGTATAATTATAATAAAAATATTATTGATTAATTCAATCTTTGGTATAGATTGATAGATCTTTGTCACTCAAATTTCAAGGAAAATATTTCTGCCCAGTCCTCCTATAAGATGGTTGACATTGTTAAAATGTTTATTCATTGGTGATTAGTTTTTTTTAAATATTTGAAAGTTGACAAGATGATAAATTCATTAGCTTTATTGAATGTGGTATTTTACAAACATAATAATACAAATAATAAATAAATATCATGTAAATATTCAAATTTAAACCCATCTCTACTGTCCTCTTTCATTATATGAGGGTGGCATCCTTAAGACGTAGTCCCATGTAGATGTCTCCTGCATTCATCAATACAGTTGTAGCCTAGTTTTCAGAAGAAAGGGCTGTAATGATAACCCAAATCTGTTGAATGGAAAAATGAAAATAAGATACAGTGTATAAGAAAATCAACGATGACTAATAACATACACCCTGATACCTGCTCTGACAAAATGACGAAGGACTGAAATTCACTTGGGGTTCTAGTGGGCAAACCTAAACTATTTTTTCCAACAAGACTAGTTACTGTACAAATCTTAGATAGGCCTGCTGGAGCTTGGATCTGACAAGGTACGAAATAAGTAATACATGTACAATTTACTTGTATTGTGAACTTTTGCTCATAATAGAATAATACTTGGTTTAAGTATGGGATACAAAATGACCCAACATCTTGGACTAGAGAATGTTATACGTAATGTAGACTTATATTTCATCTATATCAAAATTTTATTTTAAATCTAAATCACAATTGTGATATTCAGTCAAGTATTCTTTTATGAGTAATGGACAATGAAAAATATCTTTGTCAGATCTATAACTTTCTGCATGATATGTGTTCTACAATAGTTTATTGGGGGTACCTACATTGTATATTAGCACACTTGCTCGTATGAAGTGTATAGTAGGCCCGCATCTCTAGATATGATCCGGTCAATATCTGGTTTTTTGTTCCTCTCCTGGGTTTGTAACCAGCATGCCTTCATCATCCACTGTAGAAAAGCATCATCCTACATAAGAGAAGACAATGTAGGTACTTCAATTAAAAAGTAATAATAATAGATACATATCAACCATAATACATCCTTTAAACAGACTTCCATTAATCTCATTTTGTGTTCTTCTTCATCTTCATTGCTCAAGAAGTGAAAGGACCACTTTAAAAAAAAAAGTAATGAGGGGTCCTGTGTATACCCTACATGTATGATTGTAGTGCTTTTAATGTGCATTAGACATTGTTCTCCTACACACAGGACTTCCTGTAAATAAGGACAATTTCCCTTTGTAGACAAAGAAAGGAAAGATATCATTATGTGTGTGCTAAGTGCAGAACTAGAATAAAATATACCCTCCACTATGTATGCTTGCAACATCATGACATAAACTTAGTTTCATTTCCTTTTTAGTGAATTAATAGGTGGTCGTTTAATATCTGTGTGCTAAATATCCTGAAAATGTTACCTGCATGGCACTTTCTGCTTCATCTTGCAAATATAAGAAATGTTGTAATGTCCACTCATCAGTTAACTCCTTCCAGCTCTTCATCAGTTTCAATCTGTTGGAACAAAAAGAAAAAAAAATCAATATGACAATCAAGGCGTCCCTTTCTCCATAACAAAATAAAATAGATCTAGCATATAAACTAGTTTCGATGTCATGGTTGGCCACAAATTTAATATTGTTTGGAAATCAACATTCCTATTTAAATTAATGGACCACGGTACAAAGTAAAACTAAATAGAAGATATAATTTGTGCCTCAAACAGTGCTTTGTATGGCCCATGAATATTTTAAAGTAGTCTTAAGTAGAATTGGTTTATTAAAACAAGAAGAAGAGGTGGACTACCCTACATAAGTATTCATAATTGTGGACTAGGGGTCTTCTCTTACACAAAAAATAGATTTATCAACATGAACTGCACAATTTGGAGAGGAAAAAAACAAATCTCTAATAGACCTAGATCTATATTAAAAGTAATTAGGGGTCTAGAGGTCTAGATCTAGAAATAATGACAACTTGACAAGCACGCTGGACCCACACAAAATCTAAATATTAAATAAACAAATCCTAGTGTTGTTGTTTTTTAATATTTTTATTAATAACTTCCAGGTATACATCTAAATGAAATAGGATTTGGAGTTGTTTGATTATCAATGGTCACAGATAATTTTGGTCAAAATAACGTTGACACGCATCGCGTACCGATGATGCAACTGAGCGAACGGATGACACTGATAAACCATCAGAGTCAACATCTACTAAAGATTTTAACAAGAATTAATCCACTTGGATTATCAAAAAAATCATGCTTCATAGATTATTTTAAGGTGTAACGATTTATTGGTGATGATTGGTGATTTAGATTCATGATGACGATCAAATCTGAAATAAAACCTGATTAGAAAGTTTGACCTTGATGAAGATGAGCACCGAAATCCCCCGGGGTGGGCCTGCCGGAACCCCGGGCCCTAACTGGAGTACTATAGGGTGAAGTGACGGCAAACCGCAGTCAAACTACTTCATGACGTTGAATTTCAAGAGCACTATTTTCCTAGTCTTTTCCCAAAAAATCTGTTGAGAACTGTCTCAAAATGTAACAAAATTACCGTAGATCACGAAGACTATTGCAGCTTTTTCAAAATTGATGACTAAATTCACTTAATCTACTCATATTTCAATCAATTACTCACCCATTCTCAATGAACTAACTCTTCTCAGTTTGTGCGAGTGTAGTAGCGTCGTGCATAAATCTGCATAATTAAAGTGACGCAATGAGGTCAAATATATTATCCGGTTTCTTAAACGATACTATCGATAAAATACATATTCATGAGGCTCTTATCCAATCGAAAAGCCGCCTCGGGTGCTTATTTTGTCTTCAAATGATCCAAAAGAGGCGGAGCCTAATCCCATTCGTCTGTATGGTTTCCGCGCGTGCTGCTTTCCGTCTAGTAATTATATTTAAACGTCTTTGGTTCGTACCCTGTACATAAGTCTATGAGAGCTTCGATACTGCTACCTAGCTAGGCGCGCCCAATGTCATTATTACACTGCTTGCACAATTTGTGTGCAATGATCTCGGGCAAAAGCAGGTTCTGCTCCAATGAATTGTTGTACACATGAAGAGCAGTGAAATTGCTTGTTATAACGGGAATGATTAACAATGCTTTATTTGTTTTAGGGGCACTGGATTTGGCTCGTTATAGCCAAAATCTTGTAATGCCCGATCTCTATATAAGAGGACGCCATAGAATTACACGTAAATTGGTTTGGGCCTGTGACAATCCTTGTTATAACAGTTTTCTCTTTTATGGCCGACCTCTTTATATCAGATTTTCCCTGTATTGCTGTTTCTGCGATCAATGACCCTCCATGACATTTAAATTAGGACAAACATACCTGTATGGATGATGCCTTTGCACTCAATGTAGAGTAGAACTTCTCACTGAGATTCAATCCAAAGTAATTCAGGTCAGTCAGGTTTGGCATAGAGCACAGTGCTTCCGCTAAGTGATGTGATGAGGCTGGTGTGGGACACGAGTGATAATCAAGCCTGAGAGTCTGGACCTGCATACACGGTGAATATAGTTAAGTAACTCATCTACACATGCATACATTGTATTTACTAATTTCTCACTGTATCCTTACACATTTCACACAAATTCCATATTTTCATATTCACTTATGTCTCCTGAAAAAAACATATTTCAGTTTCTATGGAGAGGCTGATTAGTAAAAGTGATTAAAAAAATTGTATTCTTTAAAGGGCTTCCAACATGTTTGCATTGATAAGTCCTACTCCCTATAATGCTGAAACCAACCATACCCGTAAATATGCATTTGCTATTAATGTATAAAACATATTCATAACTTTGGATTTCATGTGCACAAGAATCCTTATAAGTCAGGTGATTTATTGCTATGGTGCGGTTTGGAAAAAATCAAGCCTTTATTTAGATTGGCTCTTTAAATATATTATATTATATTATATTTTCCTAACAATCAAACTTGGGAAAGGTTGGATATAGATTATTGATTAAAACATTGTAAATCTTATACAAACTTGAATTTCAACTGTATCAGCACATGAGTTATTTGCTTCCTTCCGTGTTTCGAGACATTTCCTACATATTCGGGGAGTGGCCTTTGAATATAAAAGTGTTTTCGGAATTAAAAAAGCTGCATGTACACCGTATAGCTATTACTGCTTCTTCTTTCTTTCAATGACCCTCCATGACATTAGAATTAAGACACATATACCTGTATGGTTGATGCATTTGCTTTCAATGTAGAGAAGAACTCCTCATTGAGATACGTTTCAAGTTTCAAGTAAGTCAGGTTTGGCATAGAACACAGTGCTTCTGCTAGGTGATGTGAGGAGGCTGGTGTGGAACGCTGGAGATATTGAAGCTTGAGTGTCTGGACCTGCAATGTTTGTGAATAAAGTTTTAAAACAACAAGTCTATATATGCATATGATTCATTTAATAATTTCTTAAAGTATTCTTACATTTCACACAAATTCCATTAATTACATAGCTGATTTATACGAGGGAAACTCTCTTGCTAGTCTCGCCTGCATAACGCAATTAGATGTAATGAAATATTGAGTTTGGAACATTATATACATAGGCAGGAGTGACCCGTAGCATGCCCTGAAAAATGAAATCCTCTGAATATAATCAGCATTTTGAATTGAATATTGACTAAGAATCATCAGAAGAATGATTTACTATTATTTGTACCAACATGATAACTTTCATGATATATGAACAATTATAAAAATATAATTTTATTAATTCTCATATTAAGTTGTTAAAAAAACATAATCCAAGTCTACCGACCTAAAATGACCTTTAACCTTGACTTTGTGACCTGGAATTTGTGTCATTTGATTTGTGATACTTGATAACTCTTGGGTACAAAAAACTTTGAAAATTATGCTAAAAACTCAAAATCTTGATGTTGATGCCATAACAAAGTCTAAGTTTGCAGACCTGAAATGTCACTCGACCTTGACTTTGACACGTAGAAGACTAAACACATGATTGATGATACTTGATGTCCCTAATGGTGAAGTTTCATGGAATAGGAATGTATGCTTTCAAAATTATTATACAAATTCAAATACTTAAAAAACTTTAAAAACTTAGGTTAGATGTTTATTGTTGATGTTGCAATCGCCGCTGCTCTCACTGGAAAAGAGGCGCCTACGTCTCGATTTTGCTATGCAGACGAGACAAAAAAATTGTTGAATAGATTTTGTTTTCAAACTCAACTCTTGCCTATTGAAAAAACACTAAAGTTCCGACAGCGATGATTTAATTTTTTGCTTAAATGCATTCTTTATAGGGCTTCTAACCTGTTTGCATTGACAAGTCCTACTCCTACCAACACTTAAATTTAAAGTGCCCAGAGGCCGGCATAGAATTACACGTAAATTGATTTGGACCAGTGACAATATCCTCGTTATACTCGTTATCTCATTATGGCCAAAATATCGAGTTTTCCCTGTACTGCTGTTTCTGTGGATCAGTGATCCTCCATGAAATTTACATTAGGACACGCATACCTGTATGGATGATGCCTTTGCACTCAATGTAGAGCAGAACTCCACGTTGAGATCCCCATCAAAGTGTATCAGGTCAGTCAGGTTCGGCATAGAGCACAAAGCTTCTGCTAGGTGATGTGATGAGGCTGGTGTGGGACACTGGTGATCATTAAGCCTGAGAGTTTGGACCTGCATTTATGGTGAATATAGTTAAGTAACTCATCTATACATGCACACATCTTACTACTAATTTCACACTGTATCCTTACATTTCACACAAATACCATTAATACATAGTTGCATTCAACATGACATCCTCATACAAAATGAATGATTTAATGTAATTTCAAATTCATATTGTCTATTGAGAAGAAGAAAAACGCCAATGTTTTCATGGAGAGGTTGCTTTAGAAAGAGTATTTAAAAAAAAAATATTTATGTTTTCTTTATAGGGCTTCTAACATTTTTGTATTAATAAGTACTACTCCTTATAACACTGAAATAAATAATACCCATAAATATGAATTAGCTATCAATCTATTAACCCTATTCTAAGCGGGCTATTTCAGACAAGGTTTTTACCGAGGGGGGGGGGGGTCAATTTGAACCCCCCTAAGATCTCGGCTGTTTCACAGCCGATCGCCTTGAAAATTTGCGTGCATGTCAAGTAAAATGTATAAAATACTATGGTAATTACAATTTTTTGAAAAATTTACTCAATTGCATATTTATGGTAATTTATGCGAACAAGGTCACAGAATTCACATTATTACCCATAAATCATATATTATTCATATTTAAGCGTTATTTTTCACTACATATGTTTGTTAGACCATTTGTAATAATAATACGACAAAAAAATTGGAAAAGCCAGGATATTCCTTATGTTATCTCTTCTTTTGATCATTTCTTATGTATTTCATTGTTCTTTAACTTACCGGTATGTATTTTATTGTTTTTGTTGTTTTATTTCATTTCTAACTACAATTCAACTATTTTGACTCCAAAACAAACACCTAAACTCTTAAACAAGACCAAGTAACCAATGTTTTCCCTCTTTTTTGGAAAAATTATATTTCCATATGTTTTGTACACAAATCACAAAAATAAGCGATTTTCGGGCCGACATGCAAAGACAAAAGGTCACGTGACTATGTAACTATAGGTCCGATTTTCCAAAAAATTGTTTTAAAAGATGCGTTGGACTCGGAAGAAAAAAGTCACGAAAGGAAGACTTTTCATCTGCCACGGTTCCGGAGTAGGCGCGAAATTACCACAGGGGGGGGGGGGGCAAAATTGACCCCCACCCCCCCCCACCCCTCACTGAACAAAAACAGACTTTACTGTCGAGCATGCATTGGAACAATGAATGGGTTTCACTTTGCTTAATATGAAGCTAAAAAATCAAGTTTTGCCGACATTATAGTCATCTAGTCATCTAGGAAGAACAGAGCCATTTTAATAATGGCTCTGAATAGAGCTTTCCAGCCGTTTTTTAATTCTTGATTTGTATTATTTGTAAATTGTATTCTTGTATGTATTGAATTTTTATACGGAAAATAAAACCAAACCAAACCAATAATTAGTCAGCCCCAACTTGTGATGTTGAATTTCAGAGCAACAATCTACACGATAATCATAACCATCAATTGCGAGATTGTAGATTGAGAAGTTGACTCGTAAAACTAAGTCCCCAGCCTCGCAATACATGCACGATAGTAAAATAGTTCAATTAAAATCCTCTAAAAATAACTCTGGCTCACGTGACAGAGTAACGTACCAAAAATCCCAACCATAACAAAATCAATGACCCAAGCTCATGCCCCAGTTTTTCTTGCCCAATAAACAAATTTGGTGAGGTCTGGGTGAAACAAATAGTCTGTGCTTTCAGTCACTGATAATAACGTTAACGTTCAAAGACTCCAAATTATATTTTAATTTTTAAGATTACTTACAAATACGATATAACTTTACAAGATTACTACAAAAGACATGATTATAGTAAATACTGAAGAATTATAAGTACAAGAAGGAATCAATTAACCCAGACAAATCATTCAGTTTCAATAAAGTTTTGGAGTTTATGTTTGTATTTGTCTCGATATTTGTAAAAAGCTACGTTACTGGTACTGGTAAATGATATGGTACGGGGAAGGGGGAGATCAGTGCGCATGTGTGGATGAGGGGTTGGTGTCGGTGACCGGTGATAAAAATAAACATAAATCAGAAATTATTTGAAATCACGCATGGTGTCTGGCAATCGATAAAGGCACATGGCTGGGCATGACTCACGGATTATTCGTAACTAAACACTTGTACTTTTGGGATGAAATTTTAAAGGAGATAGGTAATTAGGTATATCTGTTCGAAAATGTTTGAGGAATTGCCACATGTTCCTAGTGGATTGCAGTGTCTGGATATTTACAAACTGAACAAGAAATAACAACCAAGTGATAACCTAGTATTATCAGGTGGGCTGTATAACGTACAGACCACCTTATAATTTCGTTAGAATTGCCTTTATTTATTTATTATCAGGTGGGCTGTATATAGTACAGACCACCTTATAATTTCGTTAGAATTGCCTTTATTTATCAGGTGGGCTGTATATAGTACAGACCACCTTATAATTTCGTTAGAATTGCCTTTATTTATTATCAGGTGGGCTGTATATAGTACAGACCACCTTATAATTTCGTTAGAATTGCCTTTATTTATTATTATTATTAAATATTTTTCTTATTTCTAACCACTTTTTTGTGAACAAAATAACACAAAAATGGCTCAATCAAATGCCTTGAAATTTGGCACACATATGTATAGGCATATGTACGAAGCACAATAACGTTTTCAACATTGACCTTCACTGATGACGTCATCTAGGCGCCATTTTGTAAAATTTTACGAAAATCAACTCATGATCATATCTTCATAACCAAAAGCTATTTCTCATTCATATTTATCATGATCAAGGTCAATATCCGTTTGGTCAATTTCAGGTCAAATAACGCGCGCGTGCGCGTACGTCCGCGCGTCAATGCGCGCGCAAAATTTAAAAATGCTCAAAATCGTCTCAAAATCATTTTGCATACGTTTTAGGCCATTCTAAGCATTTTATAAAAAATCGCGCACATGCGCATGCGCGCGCGTTTTCGCGCGTAAAACTATTACACAACATAGAATCGCCATTTTTTTTTCTTTCATAATATTTCACATATTTTTACAAACAAATTGATACCATGTTTGTCTCTTTATGACTATTAATAACGGAATGATCGACCGTTTAACATAAATTTCCGTGCGCGCGAGCTCTTGTAATACATAGCATATATGGGCAAAAACATGCCCATACAAAATCCATTGTAGCTCTTTAGGATGCAAGGTGACCCCAATTTGTTTTCATATTTTAAAAGAGTATGATTCGGAGATATTGTTTCATGTCTCATTTGACCCTCAATTAACTCATGACGTCATCATAATGGCCTCCGAACTCAAAATTCCAATTTGCATATTATGACGTCAGCATATTTATGGAAAATTGATTGTATCTCTGTAAATGTTGATTGATTTTCTTCCAAATTTTAGTATGTTCTAGCTGAGACAATTTTCAACAAATAATAAAGTCACGATTTTTCATTTTGACAAAGGCATCATGGCGTATATTTGCGATTAAAGGTGGCATGTCAATTTTTCACATTTTGCCTGTATTCTCTACGGGACATTACTCTTTCTCAAAACTGGGTTCTACATTTCCGTCTTTCGCGAGCAATATCTCCGTCGTTTTAGATTCTTTTACGCTGAACTTCGAGTATGTTGTAGCTGAGACAATAAGTTATCTTAAATGTGCCTTTGATTTTGTCTCAATTTTAGTTGGACCAGCCCACCTATACTTGTTCGAAACAAGTATTACAAATCTAGTTATTAAATATTTTTCTTATTTCTAACCACTTTTTTGTGAACAAAATAACACGAAAATGGCTCAATCAAATGCCTTGAAATTTGGCACACATATGTATAGGCATATGTACGAAGCACAATAACGTTTTCAACATTGACCTTCACTGATGACGTCATCTAGGCGCCATTTTGTAAAATTTTACGAAAATCAACTCCTGATCATATCTTCATAACCAAAAGGTATTTCTGATTCATATTTATCATGATCAGGGTCAATATCCGTCCGGTCAATTTCAGGTCAAATAACGCGCGCGTGCGCGTACGTCCGCGCGTCAATGCGCGCGCAAAATTTTGAAATGCTCAAAATCGTCTCAAAATCATTTTGCATACGTTTTAGGCCATTCTAAGCATTTTTTTTAAAAATCGCGCACACGCGCATGCGCGCGCGTTTTCGCGCGTAAAACTATTAGACACCATAGAATCGCCATTTTTTTTCTTTCATAATATTCCACATATTCTTACAAACAAATTGATACCATGTTTGTCTCTTTATGACTATAAATAATTGAATAATCGACCGTTTAACATAAATTTCAATGCGCGCGAGCTCTTGTAATACATAGCATATATGGGCAAAAACATGCCTATGCAAAATCCATTATAGCTCTTTAGGATGCAAGGTGACCCCAATTTTTTTTTCATATTTTGAGCGAGTATGAATCAGAGATATGATTTCATGTCTCATTTGACCCTCAATTAACTCATGACGTCATCATAATGGCCTCCGAACTCAAAATTTCAATTTGCCTATTATGACGTCAGCATTTTTTTGGAAAATTGATTGTATCTTTCTAAAAATTTATTAATTTTCTTTAAAATTTTGATATGTTCTAGCTGAGACAATTCTCTACAAATCCAGTTGTCACAATTTTTCATTTTGACAAAGGCATCATGGCGTATTTTTGCGATTAAAGGAGGCAAGCTAATTTTTTCACATTTTGCGTGTATTCTCTATGGGACATGACTTTTTCTCAAAACTTGATTCTACATTCCCGTCTTTCGCGAGCAATATCTACGTCGTTTTAGCTTCATTTACGCTGAACTCTGAATATGTTGTAGCTGAGACAAAAAGCTATTTCAAATGTAACCTTTATTTTGTCTCAATTTT